AGATGTCAGGGTGGTTGAAGTCCCCCAGGAGAACCAGGGCCTGTGATTGTGAGGCTACTTCCAGGTGTCTGTAGAAGGCCTCATCGACTTCCTCTTCCTCATCAGGTGGCCTGATCAGGTGGGTAAACCCCCACCACCGCGTCACCCATGTTAGCTTTAATCCTTACCCATAGGCTCTCAACCTGCTCTTCATCCACCCCGAGGCAGAGCTCCATACATTCTAGTTGCTCCCTCACGTAAAGAGCAACTCCACCACCTCGCCTTCCTGGCCTGCCTCTCCTAAAAAGCACATAGCCATCCATGACAGCATCCCAGTCATGTGAACTATCCCACCATGTCTCTGTAACCACAATGAGATCATGGCCCTACGACCGCACACAGATCTCTAACTCTTCCTGTTTATTCCCCATGCTGCGTGCATTGGTATACAGGCATTTCAGAGAGCTAGGCAAGCATGTAAGCTTCTCAGGAGAGGTGCAGGGGATCCTCCATAGCCATGTTCCATGCTGTCTCCCCTGGCTGTATGATGTATGTCTCCCCTGGCTGTATGTATGTATGATGATTGGGTAAAATTTCCAGCGGCCTTACTAAACATAAATATGTAATGGTTCTCTTGGCCCTGTGTCATCTCATGGAGTCGTTTGGTTTGGCATCTTGACTGAATGTCCTCTTCAAAGAATTAAAATGCTCTATCAAAATGTATGCATCTAGATAAATTTCCATTGCACGAGCTACCATATTTCTGTCTGGAATGTCCTGGATAAAAATATATCCTCATTTGGGAGGTCATGCCTGTGGAATAAACCCCCCCGCTTCTGGAATACGTCAGACAGGGATATATATCAGCACACATGCTGCATGGATTCAGGACTTCTGCACATGTGCTATTTAGCTGTATATGTGAGATTCCTGAATACGTAGTAGACCAGCAAAAGGATCAGAGCTGCTCCTGAACTTCATTGAACCTGTCATCCAGAAATCCTGGACAAAAGTGTCAGATCAAAAAAAGAAAACACATGCAAGGAAACCTGGATGAATGACAGCTGTAACCAATGCTATTGTACAGTTAATTTCTTAATTCTCAAAGCTTATGGAAACTGCATTATATGATCCATTTCCTGGAACGTATTTTCGGCTGTTTTAATAGAATGCCAACATTTTTTGATGATTTTTTTGTGTTTTTTTTTTTCCCCCTCAGTATGAGGGAGAAAATGCCAAAGCTGAATTTCGGATTTTCTGTTTAGTTTTCCTGTTAGATTTCTTTGGGTGCAGCTCTTATGTAGTATTTCCTTCAAAAGTATGGACAGTTTCTGTCTGCTTTCTTTTTTCCAATAAAGATAAGTTTGTATTCATTAAGCTATGGAAGAATATCATTTTGGGTAGTGATAATGCAGTGACTGTGTCAGCAAATGCAGCAGCTCTTACATGTTCAGCAAATACATTAAGTCTAGATCTGTTTTGGAGAAAATGTGGGTCAGATCTCTTACTGAACTATTGTAGTTATCTTCTATCTTACTTGTAACCAGTCTCTTCAGGATTGAATTTTGTACATTTCTTCTCCATTAGACCATCTTACTAGTCCTTTTACTATTGCTGTTGTATAGAATTAGTTCTGGACATGAGTCCAAGTATTGGCTATTTGAACTTTTTTTTTTTAATTAAACTAGTTACACTAGAGATATATAATAGATTCAGTCTGACTTTGTGAAAATATGGCTTCTGCTGAATGTTACAATCAGTTGAGTACCTTTGGTATGGTTAGAAAGTAAGACAGACTGAGAGCTTTTTAATATGTTTTTTCTAACTGATGCAAAGATTTATATGATGTTAGCAAGCTTCTGTACAACTTTTCCGCTTGGACTGGATGGGCCAGGATCCCGTAACAGAATATGCTATGTATGTCTGCCTCATGGAACAAAAAGTAAGCAGAGATCCCTGAACATGCACCAACCAGACTCTTTTCTAAAACAGAGCAGTTGCTGTTGCTATAGTGGATCACTGTGCACTGGCTAAGTAGCACCACAATAACCCAGCTCTTCCAGTTCTGGGCAAAAGTGTTTCCGTTTGTTACTGTGCTCTGGTCTCGATGGAACAGCATGTTCAGATCCAATGGACCCATCCATAAACTGTGCAGGCATGCTTATGGTGTCTTTTGCTTTTAAATCAGAGGTTCATAACTGGCCTATATGCCTATAGATTAAATAGCTTAATAAAATGATATGATATTATTCATACCATTCATGGCAGAGGAGGTTTTTTGCACAAAAAATAATACCATAATTGATGTTACTATCAGAGAAAATTCTCAGATTGGACTGGATCATAAAGATTGATCTAATCTCTCCTTAGAGTTGGAGGCCAGGTCAATTTAGGTAGCGTGGTGTGCTCCTGCTTCTGTGAATTAACACAAAAATTCGTTCTTCATTATTTTCAATGGAGCTTTGCTCCTCAGCAAAAAAATTAATTTAAAGATGTAAAGTGAAATCATTGATCATATCATTTTTTTATTTTTAACCGTTTAAGAGGCCGTTTCTCATGTTAAATGTGTTAAAAAGCAGTGTATTTAAAAATAAATTCTTACTGTGTTCAAAATGACAGGATCCAAATTGAACTAATTAAGCATTTGTCATCAAACACTTCAATTAATTTGATTTCCTTACCTTGTATTTTCAAATTGTCAGTAATACCCTCAATAGCCCACTGAACATCTGATCCTTTTTACAGCTTTAATGGTTATTTCCTTGTGGGTTTTCATATAGGACGCTTTTATATTAATTAGCTCTGCTTTTAATTTTTTTTTGTTTCCTTAATTATAATATGTGCTTATTTAACCATGTTCGTTAAGGATATGCACCTAAAAACTCTTTCTTTAGTACTCTATCCCACATTCTGCTCAGATAATTGATTCTTTCTGCGTGACATCATGTTGCTTTTCCTGCTCATATATCAGCTGTTATTTTTTTCTTTCTTCTTCTCCCCCCTCCCTATTTTCCTTTCCCTTTCTCTTCTCTTTTATTTTTCTTTTGTCTTCAGCCTGTTCTGCAAACTTGGAGTTCTTGTCAGGCATAGGATTTCACTGTTTGGTAAGGAGACCCTTGACAAATACTAGCATGGCCATTGCTTGTTTTATTTTTTTTGTTATTTTTTGTCATTTTTGCATTGTATTAGGTGCCGCTTTGTTGCATGCTGCATGGCTGAAATGCATGATCTTCACAGACCTCTAATGATCACAGTCCACTGTGAGCTGATAGATCACAGAACTTATTAGATGAAATAAAATGCTTTTGTAGTTATCAGTTTGGGGTTGTTTTTGTTTTGTTTTGTTTTATGAGTGTTGAACTACTACCTGGAACTCATTATCCTACCGAAGAATTTCACCAAGTTAATTATAATTGCATATTTGTTATTTTATTTCGACTTTTATGGGCCTGCTATGGGAAGAATACAGCATCAGAACTGCACATTCTTATTGTAAAGTCATTAAGAAAAGTTTGTGGTGGGCTGAAATGCTTAGTGATGTTCTGTGGAATTCTTAAATATTCCCAGATGTGCTTGACTCCACACACGCATGTCTGCTATCTTTCTCGTATTACATGAATCTAGGAGGGGCTTGGTGTTTGTCTTATGCCATGTGAAAATCACTTAATTGAAGTCAATTCAAAGTAAAATAAAGTGTATACTTTATACAAGATATGTGGTACAGTCATTTACTCTGCAGTTTTTCATACATTGCAATGATAGAGTTGAAAACACATGTCTGTATGCATATAACTTCTGTAATGGGTGCACTGCAAACTTCAGCATCCATAAGAATATCTAATTGGGTAGTTATCCAGCTGATTAGAATTTGATTAAGATAATATGTACTAACTCAATTTTTATATATTTCATTCCATTTGAAGGGAAGGATTTCATTTGCTGCTACAGTGCAGTGTTTCAAAAAACAGACTTACAGACTGTTTCAAAAACCAGTAGACTGAGAAGGAGTAGAAATTATTTTGGGATATTATTTTAAACTATATTTTGGGTTGAGCTGAGTGAATTTAAGTCAAAAGCTCGTAGGAGTTATTTCTGCAGTTGTGCGGCATTCTTACAGTTCTTTGTGAAGGGTGGAGTATGTCACAAACCGATGTGTAAGCTCTGGTGTTTACCCTAGGCTATTTCTTCACAAGAATGAACTAGTTCAGGCATTACTAAATTATTAAAATTTTGCAAATTGTTTTCATTATTGTATGAATCCATTTTTCTGATTATTTCTAAAAGGAACAATTAAAGCTCAAAGTCTAAGACAGTGCAACTTTGTTCAGCACTAAAGAAAGGATGATTTCCATTCCACTTCTCAGCCTGCTTCTTACTGGGCTGTGGGGAGAATTCTCTCTTGGGTTCAGGTGGTAGAAGGAGACAGGTGAGATGGGATTACATGAGAATTCACTACTGTGGCTGAATCTTCACAAAGGAAAACTCTTGTTTTTTAACTCAGGTTTCCCAGTGTACAGTAACTAAAGGAGCAGAAAATCGTTGTGCCAACACAAAAGTATACTGTAGTTTTTCCATGAGTTATGACAAAGTCCGAGTCACAAATCATCTTACCTTGACTGGGAATTTTGTCATGGGTAGCCAGCATGATCGAAAGAACTGCACTTCTTGCAGAGGCAAGGCCTGTGTAGAAGAGGGGGAAATGCCCATGAGGACAGCCTTGCAGAGCACAGATAGGAGCTGGGGAGTTATTTGTGCATTTTGGAAGCGCTTTGAATGAACAAGAGTTGCTTGATAGTAACCTTTGTGGATGGTATGGAGCTTGCTATTTTCTAGGCATTCCATACAGGTGCTTTGTGTTCATTGTGAATTTGAATGGTACTTCTCAAGGTAGACCTGCATATGTGAAAAATCACATAGGTTGAACTTCATATAGAAAATCACATAGGTACAGAAATCTTGACAAAATAGGAAGTTAAGCACTAAAGTCTTCCAGAGTGAACTTAAACAGTTAATCACATTTGATATCAAGACTATCACTCAGATTATGGAATTGTTAGTCAGCATGGAATTATTTTTTTGTTATATTATGAAAGTAGATTTGGACCCTAATCGTTTGCTGTTTGAGGGCTGTTTGTAGTTGCGTGTCATTTAGACTGTGTTGATTTACTTTCGTTATTATTAGTAGGCTTCATTTGAAATTCTTCTGTGAGTAATTTTGATGAACATTTGAATTCATATTTTCTCAATTTAAAAAGCAAGTTTCTGTGGCTCATTTCATTCACTTTTTCTGCATTGTTTAACTCTGACTAGAAGTTCTTGCTAAATTAGTACGTAAGTTTAACTTTTTATTTCAACATCAGTATTACATTCCCATGCAATTTGAAACAAAAATTATTATTATTTGATGACTGGATAAGTCATCAAATAAGAATGGCCTGCTTTTGCTCACTTGTTTTCAGGAACTTAGAGAATGTAATCAGAGGAGTTACTAAAAGGAGGCAGAAGGCTTTCTGTGCGTAGTTACATCCTGAATTTATTAGAGACCTTCCAGTGAGGCATCCTCCAATCAATGTTAATGGCACTTCCGCAACAGAGCAATTCTTCCCTCCTGATATATTAGTAATATTGCTTTCTAAAATATGTAAGACTTCACCTCAGATTATTAAATACACTGAACTGTGCAGTTCATGTGATCAACTGCAATTGTAATACATGCTGAGCAGTGATCCAGCCGTGTACCTATTTTTCTTACTAGCTCCTGGGGTACTTCTAGTCTTACAGTCTCTTGAACTCTTTTAATGTTTGCATATGTCTAATATCAACTGTTATTGTTAGTATTTGGTTATATTAAGAGTTCCTTTAAGGAGCAGCTAGTTTCAGCTTTTATCCAGCTGCTCTCCTTTCATGACATATAAAACGTTTTTATACTGAACGTTCATTTCTACCTTCAGATTGCCTTGTATCTAGCTTTCAGACTTCTGAAGACCAAGAACATTTTTAACTAGTAAAAAAAGAACATTTTAAATTTAAGGTATGAATATAGCAACATGCATTAATAGAAATTACAGATACAATGTTCATTTTATTCTACCTTTAAACAATTGTTTGCTAGAAGTGGCATTCTGAGAAAGAATTAGACCTGAAAAGTTGTAAATAGAGCTGGTTTCTAATGGAGATACTATGTGATGGTTCAATATAGAATGTTCAGCCTGAGAGAGAATTTTAGTACTTTGAATTAAATGGGTGGTTAGAAGCTAGGGAGCTCTCTCACAGCCTTCTTAAGCACTGTGAAATATTTGTAATAATAAGACTAATTTCATCATAAACCTCCCAGTTTCATATTTCATTACTCAGTTTAAAAAAATCTTAGTAATCTGAAATTGACTGCTGATCTCTGATTTGAAACAAACTAAAGTCTTGAAATGTTCACATTAAAATGATTTGTTTGGAGTTTGTTACTGTGGCATTTTAAAGTAAAATATTCAAAAATACTGTTTTTTGTGTGTTTTTATGTTAAAAACACAATGAAAAGAACTAAATGTGTGATTCCTAACAAAACAAGACCCAGAATTTCCCCTGAACCAAAAACTTATTTCATAGCAAATTGCATATTGTAATAGTCTGTAACAAATCTTGTCCTCAGTTGTAAACACAAAGAGACACTCCAGGAAAGAAGTTTCACGATCATTTTGAAAGTCTATTTTTACTGTTCTGTTGGTAATGCCTAGCCAAAGCATAGTACTTGGATCAATTTAAATTGAAGGGGCCTGAATTCATAGTATTCACTGACTTCTTCTCTGATATGCTGGTTGAAACTGTGAAAGCTTTTTCCAGATGACTGAACTACATGTATTACTAGACTTAAGAGAAATGATTTTCTGTATGTTTTTTAAAGTGGGTAAACTGGTTGCCCTTGCTTCTTTTTTCAACACAGAAAGTGGCAGTTGTCTCATTAAAATGCATATATACTGCATTCTTCCAAATATACAGATTGCCTTACCATCAGAATTAGAAAATTCAGTTGTGCAAATCCACCTCCCAAGGTGGTTCATTTTTTAAAGTGTCTACAAAATTACGAGTTAAGAAGGAAAAGGGTTGGTTTTATGGTGCCAAACTACAGTTATATCGACTCATGAGAAAGGTAGGAATGACCGCTAAAGTTGGTTCTAGTTCTCTCTGGGAGAACAAACTGAGAGGCCATCAGTACTCCAACTACTATGTTGTCAAAGCAACTTCCAGTAAACTTCAGCTAGATGACTCCAAACAAAATGTGTATTACGGTAACTAAATGGAGTAGTGATTAACTCTGTATACAGTTTGTGCTACAAAGCTGAGTTCTAGCAACATTTCAGGAGTAGATTCAAAGCCCTTTTTAATCTCGCTTGAGTTAAGGTAGTCATCTAGAAGGTAGTTTTTGGCATGAGGCACTTAAGTAGGCCTTTTAAAAACTGCTTAACTCGATAGTCTTTTTTAACATTCTTTTAGAAAATATTCATATCTCAATAGAGTTTATAGCAATTTTATCAGGAAACAAAAAACCAACAAACAAACAAACTGCAGTATCTGCTACAGAGGTACACCTAAAGCTTGGCTGGTTTCCAGAAAGTCTTGATCAGTTTTTGGCTCTTCCAGCTGGTTTTCACCATAGAGAGCACCTAATTCCTGATAAACATATGGCTCTTGAAGTTATAGAGAAGCAAGTTATAGAAGTTATAGAGAAGCAAGAAAAGGTTATTTTCATTTTTGTAGAGATTTTTTAAAAAAATCCTTTAAATAACCTGTGAATGAAATTTGTATAGCCTAAATCTTTCCTGGATTTAAAAAGTGACCTTAGATATGGCTTATATATGGCAATATTTTAGGATGTACATGTGTGCACAAGGTATATGTGTGTGTTCTCTTTTTACATACATACATACTAAGAACAACCATTAATATTGGGAAGCACATGTTATGTCAGAGACTGTTACTCATGTAGGGTGTACCTGATCCCACTATAAATAATTGCAGCTTTTTGGTAATACAAGTGGACTAACTTTTTTTGGTGCCATTTTATATAAATATTTTCTTCCTCTCAGTGTTGCAGTAGCACCTTGAGAGGGTTAAACAGCTTTTATCTTACTAAAAGGGGGAACATACATGTTCAAATATACTTAAATCAAATAAAGTAAAATTTATAAAACTTAAATGAAAACCAGTCAATACACTGCAGCTTTAATTAACCTCACATTAAAGTGCTTCCTTCTTGACTGCCTCAGCTACTTGATGAGAAATGCTTTACTGCCTCTAGTTGCTGCATTTATGTAAACAAGGCTAAGACAACAAACTGCATGTTTTTAACTTAACTGTTAAAATTATGCAGAAGTTGAATTGCTCCTCTGCTGTGTCACTTACTCTTTTGTTAAAATCAGAGATATAGTTAGCAGAAAATAGGGATGCTCTAAAGTATACTCAGCTTAATTGGTTATTTTCCTTTCTATTTAGGAAATGATGCGACATCGATTGTCAACTGTCTTCATATACTAGGCCAGACCTTGGATGCAAGGTAATGCTGAATATATTTTCTGAAACATGAAGGAAATTGAACTTAGCCCATATGCAATCCCATTTGTGCTGTGTAAGGCTACAGAATTTCCAAGCTCAAGGAAGAAGTTACTATACTAAAAAGAATCCTCCCTGCAAAGCAGTTACTAGTTTTGTTTATTTAGGAGGTCGCAGAACAATGTTTTTAGGTTGCTCTTTCAGCATCAGTTCAGATCAGTAATGTCCAAAAATTGCTGGCTGTTCGTTCTTCTGGTTTTGATTATGTGACCGTCTTAAAAATAAAATAACATTGAAAATATTTACTACTTTGTTTGTGCTATTTCATCAAAATATTTAGGAGTTAAATGCACATGGAGTGCAGTATGTCTGTCTCATATAGAATGTCTTCACTGCAAAGTTAATTTAGGCTCTAATTGGAACACAAACAAAGAGCCTTTAAATTGAATTCAGTGGTACTTTTAAGTTGATTTAAATTGAGCTGCTCGAGCCATTGCAAAGTTAATGAATGAGACAGACAATCTTGAAATATCGAAGAGTAATAAGTTCCTTTTCATCAGTTGGACAATCAATTATTTTTATTGGTAGTTGACTTTTAGATCTTTTAAACTGTGAAGCAAAACATGGTAGTTTAAAGTAGCTTCACTGTAGTTTAAGATAACATTTTTCACTTTGCATTTACTTTCAAACAATTAAATGAACGTACTACATGCAGATGACTCACATCAGCTTTTTTTCTCAATATGTTCACAGTTGCTCAAATGAACATATTTTACTTTCCAATATGGGGCAGAGTCATGATCACAGGCAATTAATATGGCTCACCTGTTGCACAGTAATCCATTAGGTTGCAGTATCTTCATTTCTTGTAATAGAATGTCCATGCTCTATGCAATCATACAGGAAGATACTAATACAGAGGGAGATCACCAGCTTAGCTCTTGGTAGTGATGTAGAAATATCTCCAGAGGAAAGTTAAAGGATTCGTAGAGTTTATGTGACAGTTTGAAAATATTGCAATTAAATCTATATCTATTCATGTTGTAAATTAAAAAAAATAAAAGATTCACATCTGTCAATGAAGAATTTTTCACCTGGCTTGATTTCATATGTGTACATACATAACTAGATTCTTTCCATTAAACACAGAATCTCTGAATTAGAGCTAATTAAAACAGACATGAGAATAATTCTCCTGGATTATACCATTATTTGGTTGATTATAGTTATGTAATTAACGCATTTATGTTTTTATGTTTTGTTGTTGTTTTACTTGTTTTTAATCTATCATTTTAGTGGCTTTCACTCATTACTCTCTGATATTCTTGTCCTGGAAGCAGAAATGTGACCATCATGGTTGGGAAGACTTTTTGAGATACAGCTTGAGACAGGTCTTCTCTTTCTAGAGTGATGAATAGCAAGCTTATTCATTTTTCTTCTTTTGTTTGTTTGTTTTTTCCTCTGGAGGCAAATTAATCCCTGTCTTTAAAAGAATCTGTATTTTGTCAATGGGAAACTGAGTAAAATATCCTTATGTTCTGCAGAGTACCTGTGAAACAGTGTTCCAGGAGATTGTGCTTCTATGAGAAGATTTTAGAATCTGGAAAGATTTTTCTTCAGATCTGCATCATCTGTTTCATTTAAGCCAAGACTAGGCTTTATTTCGTGCATGTCTGATAGCATATTCTCTTTATTTTTTCCTTAAATCTTTATGCAGGACTGTGATGAAAACTGGTCTGGAGTCTGTTAAGATGGCATTGAGAGCATTTTTGGACAATGCTGCTGAGGATCTGGAGAAAACAATGGAAAATCTTAAGCAAGGCCAGTTTACGCACACCAGAAACCAGCCGAAGGGAGTGACACAAATCATTAATTATACCACAGTGGCTCTCCTTCCAGTGCTATCTTCATTATTTGAGCATATTGGACAGCACCAGTTTGGGGAAGATTTAATATGTATGTATTATTTTTTAGAAGTGCCGTGCTGCTAAAATATCTGTAATGTCAAGCACAATGTAAGCAATACTAGGCTTTCATTTCTATAGAAGAAGGACAAATCCTGTGTTACTTTGACAAATTTCTCATTGATTTAAACAAATGTTTGCTGTAATCAACTTAGAACAAAGTCTGCAGGTTCTATTGGACTTTGTATAAATATGACAGAGGATGTGGTCATGTTTAGGTGGTCAGAAAACTCGATTTTGTTTTTGCCTCCACCAGAGCTTTACTGTGACTTTATGCAAGTTCCTGTGAAAAAAATCACTTTATATAACATAATCTATCTTTGCTACTGTTTATAGATGTATACATGAGATTATACCACCAAAACAGTTTGATGTAGAATTAATGTTTGCGCAGAGTTTTGAAGAAAGCTCAAAAGACTGCTATAAAACAGTCTTATAAATGCCTCTCTGTGCAGTTTAAGTTAAAAGGGTGTGTCTTAGATCCTAAGGCAAAGCAGAAGGAGCTCCTGAAGAAAGCAAATGTATATGAGGCTCCATTTCTATAGACATTCTGATTATGGCAGTGTCAGTGTCCTTTATTTTCCAAAACTTGATATCTACAAGACAAAATTTTGCAGTCTACAGCATAGAATTTTAATTTTAGAGGTTTTAGGAGTGCCACAAGAATTCTGCTGGCCAGACTGCTCCAAAGGCAGCTGTTCTGCTTCTGTATGACTGACTTGGTTATGGAAGTAACTGAAAGGATTTGGAAAAAGAGAATATCAAATTATATTTTTTACCCTTTTTAGAATCTGGAGACGTGTTCTTTAAAATAGTCTTGAGAGAACTGTTTCTGAAATTTGGAGTTTTACTGATGGATTTGAATGTGTGGAGATCTAACATGCACTTTTCTTGTATTATTTCTATAAAGTTCAGGATTCTGAGAGTATCTGGAAAAAGTCATTAGTGGGGTGAACATATGCCACTTGTTCACCATCTGTCACTTGTTCAGGCGTGAACATGTTCATGTCTTTTATAATTTTTGACCTCTGATACTCCATGTATTGGAACGTAATTAGCCTTTAATACTTGTTTACTTATAAGTTATTTCTAGTCAGCTCTTCTACGTACCTCTTACTGGTTTCAAAAATCCAATTAAGAATTTATGAATTGTGTAAGAATTATTAGTTTAAATTATGGCTAGTTATTTGGTCTGGAGCATAGTTGGGAAAGCTAGTTCTTCTTGCACACAACTTCTCTTCAAATCTTGTTAACAGTAACATTATTTTATTTGTACTACTCTGGTGACAAACATCTTGATCAGTCCTGATACCTAAGCATGTTAATTCATTTACAGAACTGCCCTGTGGTGTGATCATGTACACAGATGGTTTTTGCGGAACTTTGTACTACCTGAGGTTACTATTATTACGTAAAAATACCCAACTCCAAGAGTTCAGTAGAAGTAAAATCACTTTATAGTAAAGGGCCCACTGTGTAGCTTTGGTGCTCTGTATTGTAGGCTTTTTCAGTTAAAGTCTTGATTCTGTTGTAACCCCAACATCTTGTATTAGAGGATGAGAGAGCATTGTGGGAGAGACTAGAAAAAATATGTAGTAAAAGTGTGGAAAGAATGAGAGTGTTGTCCTCCCGGATAAAAAAAAAATCTTTCCCTTTAGTCTGATTAAGCCACTTACCTGCAGATCACATTGGAAAAGCCTCTTTTCAAATAGATGTTAAGAAGATGACTCTCACGTTAGTGTGACGGAAGGGGTGACTGATAATCTCACAACATAACGTGACGAACTATTTGTGAGGGCCAAAGGATTATTTAAGTTTTTTAATCCTCTGTCAGTCTAAAGAGTAAATTACATAGACGCTGTTAACTGGTGTCTATGTCTAAATTTTTAAATAATATTGACTGTGATTAAAAGAATTAAAAATCTTTTCCACAGGCGTTTTTAGTGTATTTTAAACAGCAGTGTAAATTAACTTGTTCCCAAATATTTTTTTTTAATGTCAGCACTTTATTTGATTTGCCATGAAACTTTCAGAAGTACTACAGACAATCTAGAAAAGATTCATTAACACATACTCTGTAGGTATTAAATTAATAAATTCTCAGATCAAGCAATTATATATTATCTTGAAAAAATTGATGTGCCGTTAATTGCAGAAAGTTAGCACACTAGTGATGCATGAAATATGATCGCTATCTTAGCGGGTAACTTTATATTGAATTAAGTGGAAGTTTTGAGTAAAAACTATGGCACTGAGTGATCAGAAGGCTATTTATATATGTATTTAGAGAGTGGCTTCAGTGGATGGTCTTTGATAGTTTAATATTATTAATGCAGTTTTTGACAAAACGTAGTGAGATTAACCCTGTATGTTAATCCTGCAGAAACGTAGTGCGAAGAATCTTTTCATACCTATCATTTCCTCCTTCTCTTTAGTGGAAGATGTTCAGGTCTCTTGTTACAGAATACTGGCCAGTTTATATGCTCTGGGAACCAGCAAGAGTATCTACGTAGAGCGGTAAGAAGAAAAAGTATTCCTCTGTTTTCATCATTTGTGTTTGTACTTAGCTTTAGTGAATACGCAGTCCAGAAATGAGTATAGGAAGAGATTTTTGGTGGAAACATATCTTAGCAGAAAAAAGTGCTCAAAAGTTAAGCAGAATGCAGCAGTATTTATTATAACTAAAAAGTTACACTATACAGTTGTCAAAATACACTTTTTAATTAAGATAGAAATTACAGAAAAAGGAATCTGACTTTTACGCTAAATATCACTTGCTTTCAGGTCCAACTGGGGAATTGCAAAAAAAAAAAATCATTCAGCTCAGCTATTGTTATAATTATTCCTTTTGTATTGGTTATCCGTGTTGTATATTTCTTTCTCATTATTGTTAATTTACTTTATTTTTCACTGATGTAACACATTTTCTAGTTCAGTCACCTAATAGCTGTATTTGGCCTTTTGATACATGAGTCTATCCAGTAGCTTTTTCTTAATAGTAGAGATTAGAAATTTAGTAAAACTGAGAGGAAAGTAACAGAACAAGAGGCATTACTATGATGACTTTGCATTTTCCCTGTATGTTCCTCATTTGCTCTCAGCAAAGTAAGCCACCTTTGAAATTTTATGTCTTAAAATTTCTTTCGTATTTTAGCAGGTGGCTGCTGTACTTAAGCAGATTACATTTTTTTTCCTTCTTTGTGTATTGATTATCCCAGTAATGTAGTGATTTATCTCTTTGAGACAACCACATCTTGTAGAATAAAATAAGGCTGGTACAGAACTACCCCAGAGGGTATTCGGTCATAAAAGATGTGTATATTTACCTATGTTTGTTAATTCACAGGCAACGATCAGCACTAGGAGAATGCTTGGCTGCTTTTTCGGGTGCATTTCCAGTGGCTTTTTTGGAAACTCATTTGAACAAACATAATACCTACTCAATTTACAATACCAAGAATGCAAGAGACAGAGCAGGTATTTCCAGAACCTTACATGATGGCTTTGCAAACACAGATTTCACTGTAAATGTTGCTTGCCTCAATAAATGCATTTTTGCATACATTTTATAATGTAAAAATTTTCTTGTACTCTCTTGAGTGAATTTCTTTCCTAAATGAGTGGGCTAAATGTTATAAAACTGAATATTTTACATTTTTAAAGACACCTATATTTTCATTTTGAGATACTGTTCTTACCACTTTGGAATCAATTTATTGAATGGATTTCATGCATTGGTAATAATTCACATATTGTCTATTTGATGATAAAAGGTTATATTTTAATCAGTAACTTTAGTTCCTCACTTTTCATATGCAAATATTAGGTCCCTCATACTTGTAATTAAGGCAAAATACTTTTGCCTCTATTAAGGACATAGTATAACTTTAGAAACTAAGTTCACCGTAGAGTAGTAGGTAAATTGTTTTTCCTCTGTTTGAAATACAAGACAGTACAGTTAGTTTCCAATAACGTTGCATATGTTTACTTAGCATATACCTTTGTGTTTCATTCTGCAACTCTTGAGATGTTTCTTATGCAAAAACATAGCTGGGTAATAAGAAAGTGTATACTACTTGTTCCTGTGGTAGATAGGAATAGAAGTTATAATAGAAGCATGTAAAGCGCATATATATGCAAAATGTAAACTGTATCACAGATACGTATAGATGACAGGGAATTTGATGCCAGCTCATAATGGCATCATATTTATAGCTTCATCTTAATTTTTTAACAAAGGAAGCATACTAGACTTATTCTTCAAAGAGCTCTAGTATTTTGTTTTGGAGATATCAACACCCATGCTTGGTTGTGGTATGTATTCTAGCTATCTTAATATATTTAGAAAGACTATCAACTATAGTTTCATTGATTATAACAGAAATTAATACAATTTTGTAAAAGAAATTAAGCTTTAATGAAATCCTGAGATGGCTGTGTAAAGTGTGTGTAGGTCTCACTAAGAGGAAAAGCTTTTTGGAAAAAGCTTATGTTTATCTTAGTGCCAGTAATTGTATTCACAAATTTGCAAGCTAAAATTTCAATGTATAGCTATCTGTAGCTATCTCATTGCACATGTATATCAGGATCTTAGACATTCAAGAGCTAATGGTTGTGCTTAAAGGTATTTGTATACCTCCCAAAATAAAGGTAATTGCAATACGTTTTCAGAGAAAGAACGGATAATTAAGTAACTTGAAAAGCAAATGCTTACAATTAGAAAACCACCCACAGAATTCAGTTTCCCAGAATTTCTCTTTTCATTATGTCAAGAAATGACTTTTTTCTTCTACTAGCCTATCAGGTCTCATCTGAGAGTTGTAGAGAGGTGTTTCATTATTTCAATTTGTTTCCTCAACTGCAAAGCTCATATTAGAAGTAATTCTGGAAAGTAAGCTTAATTTTAAATATAGAATGAATTCAGATGCTGCATTCTGCTGTAATAATTTTATTGCTGGAGCTTCCATACAGGAATTACTTTTATTACAGAGAGTTATATTTCCATTGAAGTTTACATATAATAATTATATTACTCAATGCTATAAAAGCACTCTGTCTCTTTTCTTGAGCCAGAAGGGCATGAACATAAACAGAAAACTAAAATGGTATGGAAAAGCAATTGGAGATGATTATTTTCCCTGTAATACATAGTTTATTTCTTCTTCTTCTTCCTTTTTTTTTTTTTTAAATAGTTCTCAATTTGCCTACTAGTGTAGAAGAGGTCTGCTCAAATATTCCTTCATTGGTGAAGCTGATGGAAGAAATTGTGGAACTGGCAGAGTCTGGTATACGTTACACACAAATGCCACATATAATGGAAGTGATATTGCCTATGCTATGTAGTTACATGTCACACTGGTGGGAACATGGGCCAGAAAACAACCCTGACAAGGCTGAAATGTGTTGTACAGCCTTGACGTCAGAGCACATGAACACTCTGTTGGGTAACATATTGAAAATCATCTATAACAACCTTGGTATTGATGAAGGAGCATGGATGAAGAGATTAGCAGGTAAGAGTAAAAAAAAAAAAATCTAAAACAGTTACTACAGTTTACATAGAATTACTCCACATTCAGTCTGTTAATACTAGAGCAGAACAAAACTGATATTTTTCTAATGATATTAAACAATACAAATCTTCAGGAACCAGAAATACTAAGTGTAAAGCAATAGCAGTATATTTTAATTTCTTAGTAAATATTTTAAGAAGTTCATTAGACCATTTCTTTTGTGCAGGAACATACAGATACATATTTTGCAGTATACTGAATTAAAAGTTCATAATTATTCTTTCTATTCTTTATATAGCAGGTTCCTATTTGCAAGCATTAGGCATTTCCTTGCTATTCTGTATGAAAGCTTGATCCTTACAGTATTGTTCTGAAGCTGTATATCTAGCATTCCTGTTATGATAAAATATGGAAATGCATTCATTGTCATGTTAGTAATCATTATATTAACTTCATTGGGATGACACCTTAAAATTTTTGTTAAACTAGTTTATTTCTAAATGTTACAATCTGTAAGGAAAAGACACTTCAATCTTGAGATTTCAGCTTTTCAATTAGGCTTTCATATAGCTTTTCAATATTTATTGCAGCAGTCATTTCATTCAGGGTAGCGATCTGGATTCCTAGTCTTTTCAGGGCTAGGGATGTAATGTAGTCTAAGAATAAATGATAGGTGCCTAAAATTCTTTATTATCTAATAGATGTGTTAAAAATGTTTTTACTATAATAGGCCCAGATGAAGTGCTAATTTGCATATTCATTTTTATGAGTAGATTTGCAAAAAGCTTGTGATAACAAGTCTCAAATGACTGGCTGATGCGTAGTTGAATGAGAGTCTCATTGCTGTCTACAGAAGCCCTCTGGTGTCCTAACGTGTACAAGAAATACAAGCAGGCTTCTTCAGTGACTTTGCAAATAACTAGAGGACGCTTTCTAGTCCTACTTTAGTCAAGTTAGAAAGCATAGTTCAAAAGAAGAGCTAATGGTTGAGAGAACTTGTTCGTACGCCATATTGCTATATATATTCACCCGTATATGCCATTAAACAATTATTATGTTATTCAATAAAATTATGCAGGCAAGTATGTTGCCAAAATGCCAATAAAGATGCATTTCAACCTTTATGATCTGAAAAGCTGAGTCTATGAATTTGTAACTTCTGCCCTCATAGGGAAAAACCAAATTGACTACGTGAAATCCTGACCACATTTAATTCGTGGCAAAACTTCTGCTGATTTCAATGGGGACAGGATTTTACCCTGCAGCCTAGAAATAAAACAGAATAAGGAAGGGAAAAGCAAAAGTTTTTATTTATATTTTGTGGCCAGGTTTTTATTATAATATTGATTGCCTTAAATAGTGTTTTCCCAGCCCATCATAAGCAAAGCGAAGCCCCAGCTCTTAAAGACACACTTCCTGCCACTCATGGATAAGCTAAAGAAAAAAGCAGCAGTGGTTGTATCGGATGAAGAACACCTAAGAGCAGAAGGCAGAGGTGACATGTCGGAGGCTGAACTGCTCATCCTAGATGAGTTCACCACTTTGGCACGGGACCTCTATGCCTTCTACCCTTTGTTGATTAGATTTGTGGACTATAACAGGTATGTGGAGAGGAGTAGGTCAATGAATCTCTTAAAAACTTCCTGTTTATTGATACCTCTCTTATCCCTTGATATGCTTAGCACTGAATTAAGAGCCTGCCAATTTTAAGGTTGATCAAACTGTTTCTTTACTGCACTTTCAGGAGGATTTGGGGGCTTTTTCAGAAGGAAGAAAAAGCCCAGTGCAAATCTGTTACATTCAGCTAGTGTTACTGTAAGAGGATTTTAAAGGTTTTGAAATAGGACATCGAAAAGCCGCTGCGAACAGAAAGGATTAAAACACATGCATGCTTGGTTTTGTTTGTTTTCATCCTTATAAAGTGTTGAAAACTATTTTCAAAGCGTAAAGCCAGTGAGGATCATCAGCATTTCCGCCCTTTTACCAAATTTTAGGGCAAAATGGCTAAAAGAACCCAACCCTGAAGCTGAGGAATTGTTCCGCATGGTGGCTGAGGTCTTCATTTACTGGTCAAAATCTCATGTAAGTAATTTCTTGGTAAATAATTGTTTCAAGGCAGCTTTCTTAGGAGACGGGTCAGTTATTTAGTGGTTATGTTTGAGAAAACACATTTAATGGCAAACTGCAGTTGGGAAGGTATTATAACTTTTGGTATTCTGACACTTTTGAAATACCTGGGTAGTGTGGGAGTGGATGGGTGTTCTGTAGTTTAATAAAACTGATTTTTTCATATAACTTCTGTTTTGTTTTTTGTTTTTTATTAAGCTCATTGAGGTCTATGTCCCAGTCATTTTTTTTCAGTCAGTTGTTGTCACCTCCAAAGCCTTTCTGTATTCTGGATATACGTCTACTAAGTTAGTGTGGTTGTAACTCACCACTGAAGAGTCCATTTTCCTAAGCTGTATAGTCTGCCTGCTTGAGCCTCTAGGCAGAATTATGATGCGAAATTGATATAGAGAGGTCCTCAGTAGGACTAATGGAACCAGAATTTTCTGAAGGAAATTTGTAGCTTTACTTATGGTGACTTAATTTGTGTTGCAGTGTAGATTCATATTTCTGTAATAAATGTTAAAATTATGTATTTAAATTACTGAGCCTAGTTCTGTAGCTGGAGCGCATGAACGTGTTTCAGTGAAGTCAGTTCTAAGCACAGAGCAAGCAAATAATAACTATCCTAAAAAGTAATTCTCCATATAAATTATTTTTCCTAGATGATACTGTTTCGTATTTGATACATTTTACCAGTTAATGATTTCTTTGTCATTCCACTTTGACAAAATTACTCTTGGCTGACAAAGCTGACTGGCTTATATGCAGGAACCAAGCAGGTCTGCAGAAAGATCTAATCAGGCACCATCACTGATGCAAATACTAGAGCAAAACGAAGGAAAAAAAACCCAAATTAAGAGAGGTGAAACACTTTCAGGCGGTGGATCCCTTAATGAACTATTATTTATACTGAATTTCTTTTCTAACTGTAACATCAGTTCTTTCGTGTTTGGGCAATACAATGCCTTATTTGTGTGTTTATGCCTGAATTTCTCTGTAAGATCTATTATTAACATCACTGTGTGCACAAAACTCCCTGTACAACAGAAAGATAATGGATCCTCAAAATACTTGTGTATTCATAATTAAAGTCACTTATTTAAAGTTACTTATGTATCTAAATATAGTGGGATTTGTTACGGAAAAGTCTAGAATGGACGGTTTTCTGATAAGGGGGAAAAAAAAAAAAACAGACAACGTTTTTATGTCGAATTATAGAAGTAGTGAATTTTTTATCATGATTGTTCCGTAGCAAATGAAGCAGTTCTTTACTGGATATGTTGTTTATTGGAAAGTAAAAATAAGTGAATTTGTACTTTATTGGAACAATCTATCATAGTTTTCAAGTAAAAATTTGTTTCATAAGGTTTAGAAAGTTTGCTTGCCTACAGTTAAGCTGTGGAGTATGGCAAAATTAATTATGTATTCATTGCCATAACTAATTGATTTTATGCCTTGGTTATTTACTTTAAAAAATATCTCTTTTACTCTATTTAGTTTTACACAAACTAAATAACATTTTGAAACAGTAAAATATAGATTATAGTCGCTTTTACTGTGACTATAGTCACTTTTAATGTGACTATAATCTAACTGCAATCTTCTGTTGTGAAATGAATTATCTAAAGTATATCGAAAACTTACCAAACTATTTTAAAGCAACAAATGAAGCGTGTGTTTTTTTCCTGTGAATATTTTGCCATATTTTAATCAGGGCAAGTTAGTACAGTATATATTTATATTTCTATGCTTACTTGCTTATGTTCACTTAAGGGTAACAGAAGAGCTATACTATTTTCTGCAACAATCATTTCGGAAAGGTGTCTCAGCACTTTGCCTGAAGTTTTTCCTCATTCATTCAGATAGGAGATTCTTCCTTTCATCTGCTCACCTTAAGGCATTATCAAGGTTCACCTTACCTATTAATAATAATGATACAATAATAATAATATTATTATTTATATACTATTATTATAATAATAATAGTATTATTTCATTTAGATATGAAAATATATGTTGATCAAATAGGAAAAAAAAAGCTACACAAAAACCCAAGCTATGTCATGTGAATAAAGCTGGAATTCAAAACCATTAGTGGTCGTCCATAAAATTTTTCTGTGGATATTTTGTGAATTTTACAAATTTTCAGTTAATCTATATTTCTGTGTAAGGTTTGTTTAGATAGATTTCTTATATATGGTAAGTGCTTTGAACAGAGATCTCCTGTATAATATTTCAGAATTTTAAAAGGGAAGAACAGAACTTTGTGGTACAAAATGAGATCAACAACATGTCTTTCCTTATCACTGACACCAAATCAAAGATGTCCAAGGTAGTGTAAAGATTTTCTATTCTTAACCCATTAACTCTGTAAGGCCGCCTTTTTAATTTTGATTAGGTTATAAGGAGTAGGCTCTGTCTTTGTAAATCTTAATTTTCAGTATTCTTGAATGATTTTGCCAATAAAAATAGTCCTTATAATGTGCAAAATATATAGGCTACACTATGGGGTGGGGTGGCTAGAATGAAGAGTACTTTCAGGTGATATAGATGCTGTGTGATATGTGGTACTTAAGAATATAGCTGTATTCTTCACTGCTGTTAGCTTGAGATTTTGATAGCTTTTTCACACTTCAAATTATCAGGGATTCCAAAGGCATTTTGGTGGGCAAACCACGCAGAAACTGATCTGTGGTACATGATCCAATGCAGTTGTGGCTTGCTACAGTGGACACAACTGCAAAGTATTATTTAATAATGTTATTAGTAAGTACTAATGGGGGTAAGTACGGTGGGGGATTTTTCTTGCTTTTGCATTGTGAGAAGTTTAGGACTCCCTGCAACATAAAAGTAAAAAGTAATAGCTGTGGAAGCAAGGCCTAAATTGAAGTTGTAGTCTTCCTGGGTGGATCTGAGACGTACCAAAAGTTTCTGCAAAATTTTGCAACACATACTTGAGTTGTATGTTGAAGAGAACTCAGCCAAACCCACTGATCGGACTCAAAGGATTGAAATCTTTGTATTTGAGAATGTAAGCCAGCCAATAACTGATGGAAATTGAGAAGTTATATACTATAAACAGCCAAATTTTTTTTCAGGAATCAGCTACAGCTTGTGGAGTGAACTGAGTGAAACGTCACAGCATTTTTTAAGGTTGTAAAAGGGGCATGAGGATTTTATCTGGGTAACAGATAGCTACACTGTAACTGACATTCAGTATATAAAACATATTTTAAGCTATTTCTTTCTTCCCCTCAAAAAAAAAAAAACTAATAAACCCCCCCCCATCACAATTTTAACTGATTAAATTTATCCTACTGGTGGAGATAAAGGAGAAGAGGAAAGAGGGATAAGAAGTTTTATTGGTAGTTCATATCACAAAGCTCTGGAAAATCCTGGCATATTGCAGTGATGAAAGCAGTATAAGAATATGGCTGAAGAGTGATTCGCACATTTTATTTCTAATTTCCCTTCCTTTGCCATTCCTCTCCCTGGAGCTTGTTTATTCTCTAGAATCCTGAATTTTTTTAAGAGTAGCTTACGTAGGGTATCTCATTTCTTCCAGTATTTATGTTAATGTCCATCTGCTCAAATACAAGACACAGTATATTATTTTCTTGTCAGTAAGCCTCTTAATGAGATTCTTTCCCCTTTTATCTCCCTTACATCAAATAATATCAAACATCCAATCTTTGCTAGACAAATTCTTTATGTATACATCTCTTTACTACAGCACTTGCACTTACATGCTCTGTTAAATCTTATCTAATTTGACACATATTGCCTGCATTTTAAAATGCAGTTCTCCCCTTTTTTTTTTTCTTTCTCCCTCCAAATTTTCTGCATCCTGGTTTGATGTCTTTCAGATCTTAACGTCTGTAAGAGCTTTTAAGTTACAAAGATAAAATAATTAGACTTGTGCTCTATTTTGTCATATTTAACTAAACAAAAAAGTATATATTGAAAATGTTACCTAGAGTACACAAGTTTACCCAAAAATCATGTATCAAGTTCAGATCTCAGTAATTCCCATGGCAGTCTACTGGCTGGCTGAGGGACTGGTGTGTACATTCTGAGCAAGGTTTTCTGAGAAATAGCGTAGCTATCTCACTACAGAAGTTTCTGTACTTTTTAATGTTTCTGGATGGTCTCACACCAAATGAGACAGGATACATAGCTTTTCTTCTTGGTTCTAAACTTGGTTCAGACAGTGACTAACTTGTGTGAAACAGTATGCTTTATTCTTAATATCTTTTCTAGTCGCTTAAATACATTTTACTTCAAAGGGTGCTTTGAAGAAACAGCAGATAACCTAATAAACATTTAATTTGTCAAGTTATACTTTCATATATATAAATAGTCAAGCATTTCATATAAACAGCTTATTTTTTATTTATCTCTTGACAATGAATTTGTTTTCAGACAGGAGAAAGCTACTGACCGTGTTCCTTTGAAATGCATGTACCCAACTTTGAAATGCGCAATATTCTCTAAAATTTTGGGCATCTAAGGAGTCTGTTTTCTGTTGTCTACTGTTTATCCATGTCCTCATTCGTCAAACAAAATATAGCTACAACTACAGTTTTTTTTCTTTATTGGAATTAAAATTCAGAAGCATTGTATAGCATTATTTTTATTCAAATTATGAAATTAATATTACCTAATTATTTTTAAAAATGCCTCTAATGAGCAAAAAGAGAAGAACGTTCAAATTTCCAAATTCTTATATCTTTCGTGACACTGTAAATTTAGAGAAAGTGTAGAAAAATAAAATAATGGCACAAGTAGGACAGAAAAACTGGTTGCCTAATTCTCAGTAGTTTGTTTTTCTATTGAATTGAATTTCATAAAACAATAACTTTTAATATTTTCATTTGAAAAATTCTGCTGCACCTATTTTTCTTCTACTCCTTCCGTGTGAGGCTTTTATTACTATTACCTCTATTTGATCCGGAATTCAGTGATCATTTACACAGTTGTGATTCCCCGAAAGAAAAAGTGCTCCATCCAGAATGCTTTGTGTTGATCAGTGAACTATCACAAATAAAAGAAACCTAGAATCAGGGAGAATGTGCAATTAATATATAGAAGCAAAAAATAGCAACCTAAGATTAGCAATGCGGAAATGGGAAATCTGGAGATTGGAGAAATATTAGAGAGTTGGAGAGACATGGAGCTCCTGGAGAGTGTCCAGCGAAGGGCTACTAGAGGGATTAAGGGACTGGAGCATCTCCCATGTGAGGGAAGGCTGAGGGAGCTGGGCCTGTTTAGCCTGGAGAAGAGAAGACTGAGAGGCGATCTCATCAATGTGATCTCATACAAGTATCTGGAGGGGGGGTGTCAAGAGGATGAGGCCAGACTCTTCTCGGTGGTGCCCAGCGACAGGACAAGAGGCAATGGGCAGAAACTGAACCACAGGAAGTTCCATCTGAACCTGAGGAAAAACTTCTTCCCTGTGAGGGTGACTGAGCGCTGGAACAGGTTGCCCAGAGAGGTGGCGGAGTCTCCTGCCCTGGAGAGAGTCAAAACCCGCCTGGACGCGATCCTGGGCAATGTGCTCTAGAGGACCCTGCTTGAGCAGGGAGGTTGCACTAGATGATCTCCAGAGGTCCCTTCCAACCTCAACCTTTCTGTGATTCTGTGAAATATCCTTTTTGCAGAGGGGAGGACTCAGCAGGACTCCAGAGAAGCGTGCCTTTTGAGGAATGGTATTTAGTAACAGGACAAAAAAAGACTGGGTTGGAAAGCAAACGGTAGTTGTTTAAGAAACAAGGTGGGCTTACAAGATAATATTGGCAGTGATATAATGGGAGCTCCTTTGAATAGAGGTGCAGCTGTATAGGTAGTAAGGAAATTGCAATTGTCAAAGCAGAGACCAGTAAAAAATTGTTGTTCCACTCTTTTAATAGTTGTTTGGGTTTTTTTTTTCCTTTTCTTTATTTTGCAGGCAGCAGTTTCTGACCAGGAGAGGAAGAAGATGAAGCGAAAAGGTGACCGGTACTCTATGCAGACCTCGCTCATTGTGGCGGCACTGAAAAGATTACTTCCCATTGGCCTAAATATTTGTGCTCCTGGAGAGAAAGAGCTAATTGCATTAGCCAAAAACCGGTTCAAAAAAGGTTCAGCATGGTAGGTGCTGCTTTGGCATTTCTAAAAGGTAGAAATATTCTTCTAACTAAACTCTGAAATTTCTTTTCCTGCCCTCATTTCTGCAGTGTGACATGAATACTGTTAAATCTGTTAATTTCCTACATGATTTTTTTAATCAGGAAATGCTAAATTATATTTATTGAGAGAAGGGGCTGGATAGAAAACATTACAGAGTTCCAAAAGAAATAGTAGACTTCGCTCTTCTCCCTTTCAACTTTGCAGGTGGAATGTCTGCCCTTGCTATTTTTGCAGTTTCTTCAGCCTAGACAGTGAAAAATTAAGGTCAGAATTAGAAATAGAACATTTGCTACGTAACCTTTCTCAGTTTAATGTTGCTCTGTGTAAATATAGAGTTAAAATTCTTAACATAATCAGGACTATAATTCTGTCATATAAAGGCACAATGGGTCACTGTGGTAGGTAGTAATCTACATATCATTCTCATTTTCTGTGAATGATGAAGTGTTTCATTTTGGACTTGCTTATTTTTCTAAACCATCAGTAAATGCATAGAGATGAAGTTCTTAAATTAAAACATAGTTATTTCTCTCTCTCTCTTGTTATGTTTGTTAAATTTTATGAAAATTAAATTTAGAAATGCAAGTAAGAACTGGATATTTCCTAACTTATATGCCAAGTATCCTAACTTACTCCTAGGAGAGTGCAAGAATTTCTGTAGGGCTGGACTTTTCATTGTTCGGAAAATGGTTCTTCTATGATTATGCTCTCAGAGCAACGATGTAATTGTCATTTGGATTATAGTCCTTTGCAAGCTGTGATGTTTTTTACATTCTGGCAGGTTATATGACCTTCAGACAACTGAACTGCATATGTTTGAAAGATAAAAGATCCCTAAAAGAAGCAGAAATCAAATCTGTGAAGACTGTGCTCTCTGTTGTATTGTCAGGACAAGAAAATTAAAAAAATTGTGTTCATGACAGGTTTCATTTGAGCCATCTTTGGTCAAAGTGTTTATATATAATAGTATTTTTAATTCAGACTTGTATTTAGTATGTTGAATTAATCTGGACAAATACGAAAGTTGCCATCCAGATAGTGTTCGTGGGAGCTTGGACGTGACTAGTTCTGGCCTGGTATAAAAAACTGTATTTCCTCTGAGATTTTCCTCACTCTTCCTCACTGTCAGCTTTATTCACTACCCAGACCAAGCCGAAGCTTGATGTTTATATGAACAGTATCTTTTTAAATTATGTTCTATGCCTAATTTATGAGACTTGTAATTTGTTGACAGAAAGATACTGAGGATGAAGTTCGAGATATCATTCGCAGTAATCTTCATCTCCAGGGCAAGGTAATTAATACGCATTTTTAAACGCTCTTTTTTTCCTTTTAGTTTATTCATTAGTACCATATAATGACCTGCTTTGGTTGGTTAGGATAACTCATAATGCCTTTTTCCTCTTCTCTCAAGTATCTTTTTCTTTTCTGCAGAAACCTGGGCAATTACGCACCTCAATATTTGATGTCGGTTGTTAAATGCTATGTTTTTAGTATGTTTACTTGTGCATCATATATAATAACATGTGATCCTTTAAATCCTATGAGTACCGTTAATATGACATTGGAGGTGTAAACAATGTCCATCTCTGTTTAAATGCTACCTTCTATTGTTTGAGATAGAATCTGCAAAATACTCAGTGTAGTTTTATATCAATTTGAAGTGTAGCGAAAGAGGAAACTGCCACTTGTGCATATTCTATGAAGTGAAAAATCACGACATCGCTCTATTTTGTCCTTGTTTTCCAGACCAGGGGAAAAAAGTGTATTGGAAGAAGTGTAGACTTTTGTTATAGAGTTCCAATTACTCTATGTGAGATTAATAGCCCTAGGACAGAAGTCTTAAACTAGCCCAGTGTAGAGCTGTTTTATTAATGCTTCAAACAACGGCAAAGAATGAAGCTGGAGTATGGAAGTGTAATAAAATGATGTACTTCTCTATTGAAGGAAGAGGGAATCTGACGCATGGATAGTACTTTAAATAATAAACAGCCCATCCATCTCTCTCCCTCCTTCCTCCCTAGCTTGATTTGCCCGAAGGGAAAAACTAGTATTTGCCCTATTTAAATGGTTAGAAGAAAAAAAAATCTGCATGAGAGGGAACTCTGGCTTTTTCTTCTGCAAAGGTATTTAAGAATCGTTCAGACGTCTAGGTTCCACCAAGAGTCAGTGCAACTTAAGTGCCCAGCAAGATAAGTTGTTATCAGTTATTCCGTGGTTTTCAGATTTCATTATTGTTCATAGTCCTAAACCATCAAGGATCATGTTTCCTGTTTACAAAAAGAATGTCAAAGTGCTTACTACATGCATACGCTACCCATTTTTTGTCTGATCGAGCCAAACATAAAAGAGACAGAAGCTAAATGGTTTTAGATCATTTAACTTATTGATTAACATTATTAATGAACATGTGGCTTAGCTATGATGCTGTTTGTGTAAGGTGGCTTTCAAAACAGAGGAAAAGTATCACTTTTTGGAAAAGCTAGCTAACTTCCAAGCAGATCATCCATCACAGCAGTATTCTCTCTTCAGATGTTGTTTTCTATTGACCACTTTTGCTTCAACAGACACCATGTTTTGTCCTTTGAGTTAGTGTTAAAATGTTGTTTAACTCAATTTCTTTTTGGAAAACTGCAGTTTAAGAATCACCCTTTTAAATCTTTAGCTATGAATGTTGCAGCATCTGTTTCATGCATTTGTCTACCTTTGTCTACATTTGTCTTCACCCTGTTTCTGTCTTTCCTTTCCTTGCATGCCTGCATGCTGTTACTCAGTATCGAGCCTTTTATTTCAAGAAATTGATGACGAAACTTGCATTCATTTTGACATGGATGAAGCTCAAGTCACCAAAATCTTCTTCCAACCATGCTAATTCACACCTTGAAATGTCAACTACTCATGCCCTTAGAAAACTACCTGTACAAAAAAGCTGTACCTTGATAGAATGTGAGGAGTGCTCACATCAAAAGACATCTCTGCCTGTGATTAAAAAGTCTTTTGTGGACTATCCATTCATGATGATCCAGTCAAATGCTCACACAAAGACTGTGGATGTGACAGTTGTTAAGAAATGGAAAAGCCGAAAGGTGGAAGAAATGCCTGCCAGTTGTGGCTTTCTAGGTTGTAATAAGCTATTGTTGAGCGACTGTGTAAGTTTATAACAATTTCTAGCACTTAAATAATCTGTGTATCATAAGATGATTTGTGGAGGTGAGTTAGCTTTATTGTTGCATTTTAGGCATAAATTGAAATCTGGATGAACAAAGGTGGTTTGGAAAAATAAATGTCAAGCTAAAGTCTTTTTCAGTTCTGTAAGGCTTCAGCTCCCAAATGCTCTATGAATCCAGACCAGTGTGACTTGACTTAACCCTAAATTGCACAGTCAGGAATGAATCACTGGCCACAGCTCTCAGTAAAAGTTTGCACTTTACTGAGTGCAAAGACATTGCATTTTTCTTCAATGTCATTGGCCCAAAAAATAGGGGTTGCAATGTGGGTAGTAGCATCAGCACTGATTAGCAAAAGCGCTGGGGACACAAAATGGACCAAAAAAGAGATTGCTAATGGTAAAATGGGAAATCACTGATCACTAAAACAGAGAAAATGAAATATAAAGAAAAATATGAGGAAAACATTTTGCTGCATACATCTCTTCTTAGTTTATAGGCTTATAGACAAATACATCTTGAATTCTTCATTTGTCATAAATTAATTTCTCATTTTTAGCTTGTAATCAGTAAAATTAGGATTTGCTAACAACTGGAAGAAGCAAAAATGCAATGACTAATATCTAAGACTAAAAACTGGATTAGGTAATCCCAAATAGAGTAACAATGTCTTTGTTTGGTTTAGGAACTGGAAAGACAGTGTTTAAAATTATGTCCGTCTACCTCATATTCATTACATTTCCTCAAATCGTATGTTCATCACTGTTACCAGTGCTATTTATTGCCCCATGATCAGCTGCTGTTCGTATGGATATTATACCTTTAGTCCTCTAAAATCTTTCAGCAAATAGTGTGTGAATCAGTCTTTAGGTTTGTTTGCACATATTCTCCCAGTGCTTTAAAATCCAGTAGTGGATACTGTAAAGGTATGGTTAGCTGCACAAAGTGCTCTGTTGTCTTTATAAGCAATTTTGATATTAATGAAAATTTTTGACCCTATATTTGGGACATTTTGCCTTTGTTACATGTGAAATCTCTTTCTCCTACAGCTTGAGGATCCTGCCATTAGGTGGCAGATGGCACTCTACAAAGATTTGCCAAACAGGACTGAAGATTCCACAGATCCAGAGAAGACAGTGGAAAGAGTTCTTGATATAGCTAATGTACTATTTCACCTGGAGCAGGTTAGAGATATTTTTCCAATTCCATTGCTTCATATTCTAAGAGCACCATTCAGCCTTTCAGTCATACTTTTGCCCTTCGTATCTAATTTTATTTTCTTTTATTCTTTTTTTTGGTGGCTACTGTTTACATACTTGCCTTGTGTTTTTAGAGCGATTATCTTGTGGTAATAATGATTATGAACTGTTTCTGCAACAACTCAAAAAATCATTTATTTGGAAAAGGGTTAGGAAAGTGATATTTTCTGTATAGCTTCCTTCTGGTGTATGTCAGCTGGGAGGAAGTAATCACTAAGTTTTACCTCTATCAGTAAGTTGTCTGTGGACCATGAAATCTGAGTAAAAACCAGGTCAATTACTGAAAATTTTCTTTTTTCAAGGTGTTTTTCTTCCGTTCAGTTTCTTGACTTACAATAGAAGCAAGAAACTTAAAGCTCCTCACATAAGTATCTCATAAGAGGCCGCATATTATGGCTGCATATATTTGGCCAGTCAGATGATTTGGTAGACAACTTACCTGCTAATGGCTTTAGAAAGCGACTTACTGAACACTGATTAAAAGAAAAATTATAAGAGGAATGTCCACTTGACAAAATTCGTACAAAAACTTACCTACAAGATGAATCTCGACAAGAATATATACATTAAGGGAATCTCATTGACTGTGAAATACAGAAAATTCTTGGTAAGTTGGAAGGTTTAGCAAGACTGTGTTTTGATAGTCGAGCAAAGTGTTGGCATACATGTTCTCAGATTCACTCTTTCTGGTGCAATGGTGAATACAAACCAAAGTGAACCTTGCTGGCCCAAATAGTATTAGCTGCATTCAAGGAACAGTAGAAGCAAAGTGGAGGAATGATCGTTCTGAGAATGTTCTGGCAGAATCTTTGCCTTGTTTAGAATATGATGTGAAATTCCACTGTTTATCTAATATTTATATGCTTAAATACTCAGAACAAGAGTATTATTACCTATTTTTAAGCTGTTAAGTCTCTAAATTTTGAAATTAAAAAAAAAACTGCGTTGGTACATTCAACAAGTCAAAGGCTATTTGATAGTTTTAGCTTTGCTGCATTCCTTATTGAATTGTTAGCTTTCTTCTTCTATCAGTCATAAGACTGCTGAATTTTAAGAACGTGCTGTGTGTTGATATAAATATCTGTGTCCCAGCTGTTGTATCGCACAGCTCTTCATATAGGTTTGTCAGCCTTAATACAGACTTGCTTCAAATTCAGCAGTCTTATGCAGTTTGATGAAAGATAAAGAGGAGTCACAACATTATAGCCGTTAATAACTGTGTGTGGAACAAACAAGAAAGAATAAAATGTGGAAGCAATGTGACAGTTTTTTTCTTAGTTTTTTACTTAGTGGAAGTAAACTAGAATCATGGAGGACAGAAAGTCTTGTCTTTTACTCTGGTTTTATCAAAGTTAACCAAACTGGAAGGAAATTGATTACCATGTACAAAGTCACATATTTCAGCATTTGAATTCAAGCGGTATATACAATCTCTTGATTTCTGGTACTTTAGCTGTACAATCATGTGATATAACCAGTTTGTGTAGTTTGGAGAAGTTGCCCATGAGGCTAGAACCCAAAGGTATCACCCTTGTGTTTTCCCTGTTTTGTCATAGTATTGATTTCATAATATATAGAGCCTAGCAGTAGTACAACAACAGCATGGACTCTATGCATAATACTGAATCAACATTTCAGATCAAACCTTCTGGTGGGGCTCAAACAACAGCTTGTAATGAAGTAAATGCTGGCTGTTTTTGCTCTGCATACTTTGCACGTATAAGTTTGGAGATTTGGCCTTGTCATTCTACTTCACTTGTGTAGACAAGCACTCAGGTTTTTTTTACTTCTTTTACTGAAATGAGTAAATCTGTATCTTTAAAAATAATGAAGAGGTGAGTGGTGGATTTGTCTGTTTTTTTTTAAGATAGTCTTGAGTAGTCCTTTGCTCTCCGTATACAATACTCTGACTACTTTCCTTGTATTTAGAGATCTGTATTTCAGTTAATTCTTTGTATTTTCATTCTATGAGCAACTAATTTATTTGTTTTTATTATTTTCAGAGATCTGCTTGTGTAGGCCGAGGCTATTTCTTTTGGGAAAGTATAGAGAATTTAATATAGTTTTTGAAGATATTACTAATTACCTAACTTTCACATTTGGGTTTGTCTGACTTCTAAATTGCTAGCTCTGACTTTATTTTGTGATTCTAAATATGATTGCAGTGAATACTTTTTATACTTTCTCATAACAAATTTTGCTCATTTTGTTCATTTGTTTGTCTGGAAGGAACTAGAATTCAATCTTTCAACAACTGCAGTTCTCCATTTTACTGAATGCTTTGCAGTTTTCAGTCTGTTTGATTAAATGTTTATCCTTTACTTGTTAATTGTTTCTGGTATTTCACTCAACTAACACAGTCCTCTTGGATAACTATGTCTGGATTGAATATTGAGTCTTCATAAGCATAATCCTTGCTACATATTTTAAAATAAAATGCTTCATTTTATTATAAAGGAGAATCACCACCTCTTTCAGGTTAGGATGTTAACTTTCACTGACTCTTTTGATGATGTGGGGAGTCAGAGGAGCTATTAATCATCTAGCACAGTAAAAGAATACAGTGACATTGATTCCTGAATCACTTATTTTATGGAGAAAAAAATGGAGGCTTCTATAGGAGTTGTGTAGGTTAAGTCGAATCAATCTTTATGGAGCAGGTGTCAAGTAAGTCACCAAAACTGAGAGTAGACTGTGGGGCATGAATGATCTGTAGCAAAGCCTGCAATCATAGTTCCCCATTTATCTGGTTAAGGGATATACTGTAGCATGCTGTTGTTCTTCTGGACCATAGTAGTAATTTCCTTCTGATGGAAACAGGATAGAAGGTGAATGGAGAAAACTGAGAAAGACGAGGATGGAGCAGATTGAACCTCATCTCATGCTGGTGTAAAGCCAGGATACAGGAGAATATATCTGAACACAGAGCTCTAACTTTAAGAAGTGTAACTGATGTGGTTTGCAATATTTTATATTCACCCTAGCTGTTCAGGGTGATGGAAGTGATACAGTCTTAACTAAATCTCTGTGCCTGTCTTTCATTTTTAAAGTTAATTTCTGCCCATTACAGCCAGTCTTGGTACGTATTGCAAGCAAAAGATCAATAGTATGTAAGCAAATTTCTTTAGAAAGATTGGCTGAGCCAATGTGAAGATGTACAATTGACATGTACAAATGTGAAGAGTAGCATACAAAAGAAAGAAAGAGTTGAGGGTTCTTTGTATTAACATTTAAGGTTTCCTGAAAAATGACAATAATATTCTATCTAAAAGATCTGAGAAACAGAGTGAAAAAGGAAAATAGCTGTAACTTACAAGGAAAGAGAATTGCCTGCTTTTACATTTATTTTTCAAATTGTGTTTCTACAATTTGGCTAATCACTTGAATTCTGTCTATAACACATTTTCTCATCTGTTAGTCTTCTATTATTTTTTCCAGTTGATTTTTCTGTCATCTAACATTTTTATTATTATGACTATCCCCAGGCAGTAGGAAAAAGTCACGTTGTTTATTTTTCCCTTTGTATTTTATATACCAGGTTGAGCATCCTCAGCGGTCCAAAAAAGCAGTGTGGCATAAGCTGTTGTCTAAACAGAGGAAAAGAGCAGTAGTTGCCTGCTTTAGAATGGCACCATTGTATAATCTTCCAAGGTAATAGCTGTACTGGTTCTACAGTTCAGAGATGTAATTATGTTTGTACAGTGCTATTTGGTGGGATCCAAAGGAAGAAAAATAACAGCAATAACAGTGAATCTGCACTGTAATGTACACTATATACTACAGTACATTTTCTACTACAATACATGTTTTGAAAAAATACCACTTCAGATTTGTGGTTTTTCCCCTCCTTCTGTTAATCCACCTGTTCTTCTTGGTATGTTTTCTTTTCTGAGAAGCAGAGGCCTTTCATAGGAGATAAATATAGAAGTGGACATATCAAGGTCACTTTAAGATAATCTTGAGAGATAAATTTCCTCCAAAGCCATGATCCAGCTCTGGAACTCTGAAGTTATTCTTGTTACTAGATACTAAAATGTTCTATATGCAGGGAATAAACTTTTAGTCTTTATCTGAGGGAAACTTGTGTATTTACTTTGCGTTTCTAGGGGAAGCATTCTGTTAGGGAAGAAATATATGTACATACCGTATGTGTTTCATTCATTTTGCTGTGTGCCCTTTTCCCCTTCTTTCTGGTTCTATAGCCAAGTGACCTGAGTTCCTGGAGGGAAAGAACAGGCAAAAAAAGCCAAGACATCTGCTTTTTCACCCCAATTGTTAAAAATAATTTCCACACCACTTGTATCTGATTTTTTTCAAGATAAGAGCATTCTCAGTTGTTTCCAAAGGCCTGCATATTATTACTATCACAATAGTCAAAGGGGTGAATCTTAGTCTTTCCAGGGAAGCACAAGGGCATGAGATGCCATACCAGTCTGCAATCAGGCTGCCTTGACAGTTGAAAATAGAACAAGGATGTTTCTATCTTTAGCTGTTCTTGTCTCTAACAAACAGCTCACCTGCACCTAACTAGCATTCATGTATATTTTAATTATGCTTCTTCCTTTTCAGTATATGAAGCTGAAATTTATCTAAAAGAATTAAGATTGATAAAGTTCTTTATGGAGACTGTTGTTCTATAGTCCATTTTGCACTGAAACTTGATGAAAACCGAAAAACACTAACCATCATAATTGGCTCCTTCCTCTCTTCCCCCTAGTCAAATTAATTTAATGGAATTTGGAAAAAATCAGTTTGTCATTTTTAATATGCCTGTCTAACCCCGAACATTTAAAAAATGCAATTATTTGGGAACAATCCAATGTCATCTATGGCTGTTGTTTTGATATATAAATTAAAATAATATGAAAACATTTCACAATCAGAATAAAACTCACTAATGTAACCAAGTAATTGATTTTACTTCTCACTGCAAAAAAAATTTCCTTAAAGTTGTATTAATTATTTGTTCCTGAAATCATTTATTGTTATATTTCCATATAGATTTAACAGATTTTTACAGATGTGGTGCATTTTTAAAGAGTGTATATTAATGTGAACTAGATTTTTAAAACAGATGGTTTGAGCAGGCTTAACCAGTGAAATTTTGCTTCCTTTTTAAATGGTAGTTGTAATGTCTGGACGGTTTGCCAAACTAAATGAAATTTATATTGACCGAATTTTTTTTTATGAGCTTACAGTTTCTGGTTTAAATTTCCTTTTTTAGGCACCGAGCCGTCAATCTCTTTCTTCAAGGCTATGATAAATCTTGGATTGAAACAGAAGAACACTATTTTGAAGATAAACTGATAGAAGACTTAGCCGTACGTCTGGGTGCAAAAGGCTGTGGGGAATGTATTATGAATTAACACTAATCTTATAAAATCACATCTCTAAGTTTGAGAGTTACATAAGAAATAATCTAAGCTACCTCTGCACAAAGGTGTGCAAGGCACTCTGACAGGTGTTTAAAATTTCAAGTTATGGAGGTTCCAGGATCTCCTCAGGCAGTCTGTTTTCATGGCTTCACTGTCATTATAAAGATTTTTAAACTTTTATCTAAATTAAATGTTAGTTGCTGTAATCCCCGTATATCATATCTTCTGCCCTGCAGACAAGGGAAACAGATTGTTCCCTTTTTGTTCCCTTTTTTTTTTTTTTTGCCGTTATCTTTTATATGTTTGAAGATACTACAATCCACGTTAAAGCCATTTAAGTCAAAAGGACAGAAATATAAAAATAGAGGAATTCTAATGTCTTATATTAGTCAGTCCCTCAGAAACAGACATGAAAGGGTGTTCACTGGTACCATCTCTGTGGAAGAATACTCTTGTATTACTAGTCAGGAAAGTGAGAATTGTTTCAAGCAGTAGAGTGTTAATCATGTCTTTAGCTTGATAAGTCCCCAGGGCAATTTTGAGTAGGGCCTTTTGTTCTCATCCCTTGTAATCATCTGTCAGGAAGGGAGTTCTTATGGGATTTGAGCAAGAACAAGTACTAGGAAATGATTCAGTCCTTGAGAAGGCCAATCCCCAACAGGGTCCGAAATCAAAGTTTTTGTGGTGAGATGGGCCTGCTGTGTGCCATAGGGAAAGGTGAATTGTTATTAGGAAGAATAGTAATTTGCTTTTAACTGTTTAAGGTTTATGCTTAAAAGCAACCACATCAGTTGTGAACTGTTTTGAAAATAAGGATCAAATTAGTAAAATGAGTATCAGCAGCAATGAGCTCAAGAGAAGCAGAACATGGAAATTCATTTTTGCCTGTATGCATGCAGAATTCATTTCTTGTGAATTCAGAATTAATCCTTATTGTATGATCCAAGCATTCAGGAAAAGCAAGAGACTTTTGCAGATGCTCATTTCGTGTACAAATTGTTAAACTAGTATCTTCAAATGTCCACATGCTTCAACTGCTTTAAATAATGCAGGTGTGTTGCCAAAAATACTTACTACTTAGCAAGAATGCGTGTGGGTGGATGTGGATCGTGGAACACCACAACTATGTGTGCTTGCATCCATGTATTAACCAATAGCCAGCATGGTCATTTGGTTACAGCCTGACATAAAAGGCTGTCTCCTTAGCTCCTCTGTGAAGCCATATCTTTAACAGGTTTATTAAGAACTCCTTCCAGCAGGCAGCTTATGTGAAAACCTTTCACAGAAAAGACAGAAACAGGTCAGGTTGGCTACTATAGCATTGTTTAGTAAAGCACTACAGGCATTTCCTTGTAGTTCCTCAAGCATATAGATCAGTGAGACTCCAGCCCTCTCTTAAGAGAGGTCTACTTTACCTTTTTTTCTGAAGAGCAAATGAAACTTTATCTGTTCTATCACATCAATTTCTTATCAAATTTTTATTGCTATGGAGCACCCTCTCGTAGATGATGAGAGAGAGATTTTGCTGCTAAGCTCTGTGGAGAGCTATTTTGTGTGCATTATGATAAGGGGTGGTGTGGTAGCGTTGGTGGAGGTTCTCTGTCCTTCTTAGAGGAACTGTACCCTGGTGTAGCAAAAAATTTAAGATTTATTGGCCCACCAAAGATGGAAGCACAGCCTAGGCTGTGGTGAGGGAGCTTACCTGGTAGGGGAGAAAGGAGAAGTTTTGAGTTCTAATTCACGCTTGAAGGATTGTCTAAAGTTTCTGAGTTGTTCAGATATTAAATAGAACAAGTGGAACAAGTCAGGGCCCAGAGCTTCCTGTCCTTCAGTTCTCTGTAGTCAGTAAGCCACAATGTTATGTGCCTTACATATTCTCTTTCAATACTGTGAATCTTGAATTCCCTTTTTTGACAAGTGGAAGTTTTTTAAAGGGAATAGTGTAGTGCAAACCACCTCCTTCCTGCTTTTTGCCAAATCCAGACAATTTGTAGACCTGTGGTTAGGACACTTTTCAGGGAAGTAGGAGATGAGCGTTTGCATACCTTTAAGCAGAAGAAAGGACTGAACTTGCAATTTGGCTCCCTGAGTCCTGTGTTTAAGTCTATTTTGTACAAAAGTGGCACTATTTCTTCCTCCTGTCGTTGTATATTTGGAAAGAAAAAAAAAAAACAAACGTAACTCCTTTATTTCAGGAGCTTGATTGTGCTGATATGCAAGGTGTGCTTCTTTGGGAAAGCCCATACAGATCACGACTCTTAAGGAAACCAGATTTTTAATGTTTGAAATAAAAATCACAGGATATTCAACACTGTCTATATATTTTATTAGCAGTAATAAAATGCTTCTGCTTTAATAAGATAGGTTAGATGAACACTTAAGCTTATGTGATATAATAAAATTATCAATTAGTTTTGTTGGTAGGCATTGCTGGACAGAATTTATAGGAATAATATGCTGATTGAAAGTGTAATAATTAAGAGTACTTTAAAATTAAATCTTTTAGGTCTTCAGCATTTAGAAATAGTGACTAAAATGTCCGCAGCTTATTTGCTTTATCCACTTATATTAAGTTCAACTAAAACGTCTTATTTTACGTTTAAATAACTGTAGGGCACGTGTCTCAAAATAGTGAAAATTAAGAATGCTTATTTCCCAGAAATGCCAGAAAAATAGTTTGTTCTAATTTTTATACTATACTTTAAAAATGAATTCTACTTAATACGGTCATTGCTGAATTTGATCCTCTCTTTAATTTGAGTTAAATCTCTGAAATCTAGTAACTTGTATTAAACATTAAAACAACTTCTGCCCTTTTGCTTCATCAGTTTTGATAATATTAGGCAGGTATTTTGGATGATAAGGTTACTGAGTACAAAAAGCTGCCATTTAATTAAAGAAAAAGGTCAATATCCTAAATGAGAATGAATTAAAGAACAAGAGGAGACTCCCGTTATGGTAGAATGTGACTGCAGTTATAGTTTGCATTGTTCTGATCTTGTTACAGATACTGAAAATACTGTCACATCTTGAACAAATGTGATATGAACCTTTAATGGCCGTCAGCAACTCTTTTCACTTCTAATAATAGAAGTAGGCTAGCAAGTGAAGCAGCCGTTGTGCATGAATGTCAACCTGTTCTCAGCTGCAACCAGTCGTATATGGTACAGCTGAGCAGAGATAATAGACTTCACATGTATATTTGATGTGTAGTACACATAGAGATCTATAAGTACTTCCATGGGAGCATGTTGAAGACTAGAACAGCTACACTATCTTAATAGGCAAAAAATCCCTTTTCCTTATAGTCTGCCATGTGTCCAACCCTTTCTTATTACTATCAGATAACACTAGTAATTTTTTACTTGTACAATCTTAACAATGCATGCAGTTATTTTCAGTCTGTATTTTAGCATATATTGCTAGTTGAAAACTAGGAGGAAGAGTGAGCATAATTTTTGCAACCAGTTTTCTGTGAGCTACTGGTTGTAGTGTCGAAAAATGCGCCTGGATGAAGCGATTGTGGGAATACTTGATTTGCGGAACTCTACTATCTGAAATCTCTTTTGGCAAACAACAGAAGTCAGAGGACTGACTGGAATTTTGTTTAATATTTTCAAGGATTCTTTTCAAAACACTGCTCCAGTGATTGCCGTTATGGTATTTAGGACTGTGTTTTCCTTTTGCAATGAAATAGCTAGAGCTATCTGAACCTGAAGGCAAAATAATCACCCGAAAACCACTATTTGGGGCTATATCTGTCTATATGTATCTATATATAAATATATATGTTCTATATAAAGCTATATCTAGCCCTACATCAATATAGTATGTATATTACTGATTGATACATATTATCGTTTTGTCTTCTTTTAATATCCTACATCAGCCAGTGTTACTGTTGTTGGTAGACATCGCTCCTCATTTCTGAACCTATTAGTAATCTTCAAGATTCGATTACTGCTCCCTCAAAGCCTCTTGGGATTCCTCAGGGAACAACATGCCTGGCATAGCACTTGGAACAGAGGAGTCTAATTTTCAGCTGATACGGCTTGTTAACGTAGAGAGGAACAGATAGTATGATAGCAAATGGTGGGTTCGTTTTTATGAGAAAAGGAAATCCAAAGCTGGATAGTATCATCTTGAAAATCTACATGGCCTGGTTTGAACACAGTCAAGATTCTGTTTTTTCCTACTTATTCTACTTGGAACTTATTTCCTCCTGGTCATGCAAGTCAAAATTGTATATGTGATTAGTTAATGTTTAATAAAGTGCACAGAGTAAGACTTTTTTTCAGTAGGTAACTGAATATACCTTTTTTTAATCTTTATTTCATGATCCTTTACATCAACTTATTCTGCTATTCAGTCGAACAGCCTTAACTGAAAAATGGTAGGGATGTTGTGAGAGACTGCAGAGTATATGCAGATTTTCAGATTACTTCTCTATTTGAAGTTATCCATATCTCTGTCCATGTCAGATAGCATTGGCTGGGTCAGAACACGTGCTTAAGCATGTATGGTGAGTTTGTTTTGAGTTACGCTGAAACCCCTCTAGCCTATGGTGGCACGTAAAGAGATTTTAACATGACTGAGAATGAGATGTAGGGATTGCTCTAGGGACAAACAGATGCCCTTATAAACTTTGATGTCACGGTGATAGGTGGGTGCTATGTTTCTGGTTATGCTGAGGATATACTGTATCTATCACTCTTGTCTGTATTCCTTGCAGAAGTTATGTTCTGAATATGGAATACATATATATTTTCTAGGAATAATTGAAAAGTTAGGTATATTGTATTTACTGGAAGGTGTTTATGGATTTCTGAGCCCTGTTTTTGTAGCTGACTTCACTTTTGGGTCTGTATTAGTTAGTCAATTCCTCCTTTTCCAAAAGACTCTTGTACTTAATTATGAGCATACAGTCCCCTTAAAATGTTTTTAAAGGAGCTTAAAATTATTTTGATGCTCCACTTCTACTATAATTGCTCAGATCTTCAGCTTTTTTCCTTCCCTTTCTCTATCACCCAGCAAATTGGATGAAGATTTCCTGTACATGGCTTATGCTGACATTATGGCAAAGGTAACTTTTTTACAACTTTTTGGGTCTTCTACATCTTTTTTGTTTTAATAAAAAGTAATGATGTAGATTAAAAGAAATTATGTGTAAGCTGAACTAAGGCTTAAACTCCTCAAACTTTATTAGTGTATGTTTTCTTTTTGCATGGTTTCAGAGCTGTCATGATGAAGAAGATGATGATGGTGAGGAGGAAGTGAAGAGTTTTGAAGTAAGACTAGACTTCTGTTTTGTTTTTGTTGTCATATTAGACATTATTTCATAGCTTCCAACTGACGTTTATGTTTCTTGGTTCATGGCTTACTGCAGCTTATTATGTCAGTGAACTGCATGTCAGAAGTTGGATTGGCAAATATGAGTCATCGGATTCATAGTAGTAAAACAAAGCAGATGTAGTGTCCCATAATATAAGATTAAATAGTCAAAATAACTTAGTGGATCCTACATGTTTATCTGATTGACTAACTTTTTAGTTTCAGAAGAGAAATATTACGAGTAGCAACTTATTCTGGAAGTCTGATGAAAACAGGCCATATCTTGCAAAGTGTCTGGTCCTGTCTTATTTTGGATGGTTGAAATAGACATAATACTGCTTTTTGCAGTAGTAATTTACATTCAGTACCAGTAATTTAGACAATACTTTTATGTCCATATATATATTAGTGCTTCTTAGAAAAGGTCAGTGTTAACTTCTTGAGACTCCCAAGCTTTTACTTATGTTGAGAATAGGAAATCTGTATTTATTGCTGATTCAAGTTGATTTTCTAATGATGTTCACTGTATAAGGAAACACAATTACATGAGTTAATTGCAAGAATAAGAGATGTGAGTCCTTGTCACGTGTTTATGTGTTTGCTCTAGGATCTGTCTCTCTCTTTTCATCAGTAAAATGGAAATTACAAGAAATTCATCATTCTGAGGGGCACTAAGGGAATTAATTAGCTGATTAATATCTTTAAGCCTATAGTAATCCTGACATTAAAAGCTATCTAGTATCTTACAAATAAATTAATAATTATATTTAATATCTTTTCCAAAACACAGAAACATAAAATACTTGCTTTAATTTTATTTTATTCTCGCAAGATACTGATTTGATACAAAAATATCTGTGCTGCTTTGATTTCGTAGAGGGGTTTGGGGCATGTTTAGTTTTTATTCACATTGTTTTAAACATACCAAATGTATTCTGTAGGTGTTCTACAGGAGTGCTACATGAAATAGCACTGAGTTTGTTAAGTACGTATTCCCCATTTGGCTGTCTACAGAAATTAGAAGAAATACTAAATTCATTTGAGTCTTTCAGAAGTTCTGGTTCAGTTGAACTACAGCTAATCTACCTCGTGTATAAGTTTCTATTTCTTCATAAATATCTGAGCCTGAGTACAAATTTGAGTGTTCCTTTTTTTGGAATTACAGTATATGATGTATCATTGACTAAGCAACGAATATTTATTTCTTTAAGATTTTGTCAGTTAGCCCTTACATGCTTGTTAGAAATATGAAACTCTTGTCCGTATAGACATGAAAGTCCGTAAATAGGAACATCTGTTGTGAATGAAGAACTTCATCAGTAAGGGGTTTATTAGTGCTCCATTATCTAAATTATAATGGATTCAGCATTCAGCTTTATCATGTGAGAGAAGATCCTAATCATTTGTTTTTCTTTATTATTTTTTTCTGTAGCTATGAGACTTATGTTCAAATTATGTATTAACCTGTTGAAAAGACAGTTTTTTTGTGTATGTTTTTGGTCAATCACCTGCAGAAAAAAATTTGGACATCTATCTTATTGCTATTTCGCTTCTTGTCCTTGCCCTTCCTTAAGGTCACAGGATCCCAACGCAGCAAGGTAAAACAAAAAATATGTGTGTATTTGTCTGGGTCTAATTTTGTGACTTTTAGGCCCAACATCTATAAGTTCATCTAAAGGGCCCTGAAAACATTTCTAACGTTTCAGTTTCAGCATGACTTATCTTTACCAAACCCTTCGTGTATACAAGCTTTTTAAAGGCTCCAATAATTATTTGTACAAAATATGTTATACAAAAATGCATTGCCGTTCTGGGGAAAATGGAGTGTCATTTGGCTTGTTCATATTCTTTTAATATTCCTGCCTTCTCTGTGTTAGTTATCTTCGTTCTGGTTATAATTTTAACTGAATGATTAAACCTGTCTTCATTTGACTCAGAAAGGAAAGCAGTCAAACTTTTCCTGTGTGTCTTACCAGACATGCATTTCTGATAAACTAGCAGAAATCTGTTTCCAGTATGTGTCACAGTGGTAGCATCAAGTATATCATAATTTCTCTGTGATTCAGCTCTTTTGGAGTAGATTGAGTCCTTAGCCTGCACTGTGATAGTATTTGACAGAAACTCCATATCTAGGATTGCATTCTGAAGCAGACCTAAAGTGATTCCTAGTTGTTCCTTTTTCTCTAAAAACATGCAGACAATTGCTGTGAAGTGTCACAGTGTTAATATTTAAGCCGACTAAATTTTTTAAATAAATTCTTTGATTTCTCATCAGCCAGTTCTAAATGGCGGCCTGTGGCTTGAGCACCAGCTGAGGTTTTTGTCTGCCTCATGCAAGTAGAAGTCTCAGTTCTCATTGCTGATTCAGAGAGCTTGCTGATAGCATTTCAAGACTTGGTGTTCTGAGAAAAGATAGAGTGTGTGAGGTAGCTAATTTTTGTTTTAGAGCTGATTAAATGTATTTGTGCTATGGCTGATGGAGGCTAGACTAGTAGAGATGACTTGCTTGAGATGGGAAATGCACAGATTTGACTGATGGTCAGGCTCCAGGCAGTAGCTTCAAAGTTCAGTGCTTATCATAGCATTTGGAACATCTATAACCTTCTCCACTGAAAGAAGCAAGAGGGTTTTGGTTTTTTGTTTGCTAGCTTTTTTAACTTTCATCTTACAAAAGAAAGAACTTGCCATACAACTGAAAGAGAAGATATACTGCAGGATCAACTCTTACTCCTTCACAAGATTGCACAGATCTTTTCCGCTGTCATACCACAACATCATAATCCTAAAGATAAATACACACATAGACTCACAAAAAATGGTTTGAAAGATGCTATAATTGCCACAAGCACAATGTACATATTATGAATACCAAAAAGGAAGTAGATAAGCAACCTAACAGTACCAGCTCTTTTTTTGCTTCTTCCATTAATCTAGCAATTTAAGCATGACATATCTTTCAGTCTGCCTACGTGATTACCCTACATTAAATGCTATACACTCCACAGCAAACTTTCTGTCTTCCTGACTGAGAAGTGTTTTAAAAAGGCAGAAGATGCGACAATAAATAATCCTTGCTTCCTTCATGCATGACAGGAAACAGTTGTAAAGATGTGAGACCATATGTACACCAGGTGTGTGTGTGTGTCTCTGTGTGTTTCTTTCTGTCTGTGTGTCTGTCTGTTTATCTATCTCAAGATCTGGTGTTGATTTCTTTTTTTTTCCCGTGCTTTATATGCATGCAAAATAGACTGGCTGTTAATTTTGTGTAGAAGTAAAACTCGACTGCCGTTCTAGACTTTAAAAAGTATGTGAAGTTCAAAGTCCCGCATCTCTACAGAATCAGAGCAATACAGACTTTTGGGCAAGCTTAGAATGTAGTAGCGATGATGAGCACATTTTAGGAGCAATATTCAGAATCATGCCTCATGCAATGTAGTCTCATTTCTGATAGGAATAAGCTGTATGGGGACTGCTGCATGGGCAGTAGGGGAGGTCACCATATAAACCCACAATAATGTTGTGTACACATTAGTATGTGCCTGTCTGCATTTGCCTGCTTGTATTTGCTTTGTATTATAATTATCTTTGCTCTTTCCTCTTTGTCTCTAAGTTAACTTTCTATCCCATTGAACAGACATTCAGTTGGCTCCCTGTAGAGCTCGTGTCAGTGTCCACCCTTGATTCTATCTGGTAGAAAATGGTTTCCAATCAAAGCGTTTCATTAGTTGAATGCAAATTGGTTTCTGAGTTTAAGTCACTGATTCTACTAGTAAACTATATATTAAGGTACTGTAAATATGTGTAGGATGGGGACTCAAAAAGAGGAATCAAAGCTGAGCTCATCTTTTTAAAATAAAACAATTTAATCTGCGAAGAAAAGAACTGGGGGGAAAAAGAGTTTCCTTTGTTAAATGTCTTCATCCCTATTACAAGTAGCAACTTTGTTGTTAAATCTTTGTATTCACTAGATTTTTGTACAAAGGGTACATCATGCTGTCACTTATCTCAGGCACAGAAATACTTGCAAATTTGGGTACTTGCAAATAATGCCAGCTCTCAATTGAGGATCCAGTTTGTCAGAGAAGATCACTATCGCAAAGCCTGAATAAATAGAGTGGCCATACACTGTGTATTTACAATAAAGTAACACTAATTCTATTAAAGGACAGTATGAATTAAGGCTAGTCTCCATGACTAATGTATCAATTCTTAGGAATTAAACATTGAAACTAATACGCAAATATGTATTTCTCATCAGTTTTCTCTACCCATGATGGAATGGATCCTGCTTTTCATTTGTTCCTTTGATGTTTTCAGAATCTTTATGGGCATGGTTTGTCAAAACTCAGCCTTTGAGGTGCTGACAGAAGAAGTTGTGCTCTACTAAAGGGACAGGATAGGTTTATAGGACAGGTTACTTAAAAAAAAGGTTAAAGCAGGTGTCTGGAGTGACAGTATATTCCAAAATGCACTGCAGCTTTCCGTTGTTACTCTGGATTGCCAGCTCTGTAAAAAATGAAATAAACTCTTAAAAACAGATCTCCTATTTGATTTCATATTTTAGGAATTACCCCCCAATTTAGGAAACTGACTTCAGTAAACCACATCCACAGAAACTCATCTAAGAACAATATGTTACAAACTGCACGTTAACACTCTACTTATGCAAAATCTGTGGGGTTTTTTGCATTTATTAAGGTCTATTGCTGAATCCTTTTTTGAACATTTGGCTGACAAGCTGAAATGTAGATCTCTGTGTTCAATCTCCCTTTGACTGTAGGCAGGGAACTGAGATTAAGTTTCTACTTTTATGTTACAAGATATTTCCTTGAAGACCCAGCATGTTTCTCTAGTGGAGAATTATTTCCCTTACTAATTTTCTTAGTTGAAGGAACCCTTATCCTGAAACTTGCTTAAGTCTAACAACACTGTTTTTCTTTTTGTAACTAGTGTTTGGATCACCTCTGCAAATTAACCTTGGGTGTGATTTCTTACTAGAGACTTTGTATGTAGGTAAGAAAGGTACAAGACAGAAGTGTTCATTCTGTGATCGCTCATCAGTTTCACTCAAATTTTTGATGCTGGTTAGTGCAGTTCTCTTGAAGCCAGTGTCCAGAGCTATGAGAAATTTTGGTATTACAGAGGTGAAATACATCAAATCACAGGTATGAACTTTTGTCAAGTGGTTTTTGATGAAAAATGTAATTGCTATGATTTATAATATTTAGTGGCATTTAATAGCAAGTGAGTTAGCACACATCAAAATGATGGGAGAAGTTGATACCTGAAAATACTTCTGAAACTGTTTTCCAGCAGTCAGTGATGCAGTGATTAAATATAAATCCCATTTTGAAGCTTTTTTTGAACATGGCAGCTAGAGTTAGTTTTTGTAAAATGTAAGCTGAGATCCTGAAATATGATTTGGAAGGTCTGTCCACAGCCTTTCCACTGTTAAAGATCTTAGCAAGTACCCTATGTTATCTTCTGTGTGCTGAGCTGTTTATGTATTACCTTACTGAATGGTGTTAGCACAGCATTTCAGTAGAACCTTTAAGTTGAGAGGATTGTTGGGTTGTTAAGCTCTTCTCTTAAACAGGGGGACAAGAGGTGCTTTAGGGCTTGTTCTGAAGGGAGGAGTATTGCATACCAGCTGAGGACTACTGCCGTGTACCAGTGGGGTCAAATGATTGAGGTCATATGCTCTCCAGCTGCATATTAAAGGAGGTGGGCAAGGGAATCCCTGCGATGAGGGTGAATAACTAACTTCTCTGGGTAACACTCAAAGCACAGACCCTATGTCACTAGTTGTGTAATAAGTGGTTTCATTATCCACAACTGCAAGATAAATTAGTTCTACTACAAATACACACACCTACGGTTAAGTGAGATTTGATCAGATTTTACATGTTGCCAGAGGAGAGTATGAGTTCTAGATTCTGGTGATATTTCTTGATATTGTACTGTTTGTTAATGCTGGGACCTTCTTTCTTTTGTTTGCTCTTCTGTCCCCCTTTTTCGACCAATCAACTGGTTTTTTTTCTTCTCATAGGTGCTATACAGGAAAAAAATTCTTTTATCTAGTTAAAGGTTTTATGATACCTGCCAGACAGTCAGCCCTCACCTGTCGTTTGCTCCTACTTTTTGCAGTGTTCATTCTCCCTTCAATCTAGTTTATAGTAACACTGAGTTAGGGCCAGTGCAATTAACGCATTCTTTGTTACAAGGTCAGATATTTTTCAGTTTCTTGCCAGGCTGTTTCGGGGTGTCTGAATAACATCACCTCCCATTGATTATGTGAAGCACATTGCAAAGACTTCTAGGGAATCTCTTCATAAAGGTGATTAATGTATCCTTGCTCTTCTCTGGGTTTTAGCTCAGAGACGTAGCGATAAATGGTGATTTAAGGCATTGCATTCTTTCATCACTTGCTAGGGCTGCTTCCCACCTTCTCTGTTTATCAGCCTCTTGGCTCACTACATTGTTTGTGCTGCTTTTGCCAGCGTGAGGGTGCTACGCTCCAAGAGCGCTCCCTGGCCTTCCCTCTGCCCTCACCGCCACTCAGGTGCTGGTATTTACTGCTTCACTGCTGTGGCACAAC